AACAGAGGAAGAGGAAGGCCTCCTCTGCGTTGGAAAGACCAGGTGGAGAAGGACTTGGCTTCACTTGGCATTTTCAATTGGCGTCAGTTAGCACAGAAGAGAAATGACTGGCGTGCTGTTTTGGACTCGGCCAAAATCGCTTAGGCGGTTACAGCGCCAAATAAGAAGAAGAAGAAGTTAGCAGCATTCCGCAGGGTCCGGGTTCAAACCAACATAAAAAAAAACAAAAGTTGTTTCTAATATGTAGCGGTTGCCCCTCGGCAGACAATGGCAAACAATGTTGCCGTTTTGATCCATTCGGATCCAAATGGATAATTTTTTCGATGAATTTTATCTCAACAAAAAATATGTAAATCAAATCGATTTCCTCTACTTAGAAATGGTAGAAAACATTTAGGGAGTTCAGAAGGTGTTGTTGTATACTGTCGTTTTGTTGTATGTCGAAAACTTTAAAAGCTTAAATAAAAGATTTAGATAACTTGAAACCACAACCAAATACTTTTCAGCACTGTGAAAATTCATATTATGACATTTATGGTACCTTGCGAACGCCTTTCATATATTTTTAGCCGTTTAAAGTTTACGACATACAACAATACGACACCTTATGAACTCCCTTATTATGATTTCTAAATAGATGTATTAAAAACAAATATAATTTTTTAAGAATAATAAGAATTATACAAGAAAATGTCCGATTTAAATTAAAATGCTTAAACCAGCAAAGGAAAATATTAAATGCATAACAAATTCATTGAAAAATATGTATTTAATTGCAAATTGTAGGTTCTTTCAGATTTATACGTGGATACTTAAAACGAAAAAGGGGATACTTTTGGATACTTTTTAGGGATCACAAAGGGGCGGGACCCACAGTTTTACGGCGACTCCGAACGGCGTTTATATTTTTATGAGAAGCTGTTTTTTCATGGCAGAAATACACTCGGAGAGTTGCCATTGCCTGCCGAGGGGCAACCGCTAAATACTAGAAAATACTATTTTTTTAGTTGGTCGGAATCTGAGCTCGAGCGCAGGACCTGCGGAATGGTAGTGCGCACTTTTAACAACTACACCACAGCGGACCTCACTTGTTAAGCAAAAAATACGACCGACTTCAATGCTCATATACAAATTTAGGAGTACCGTTAACTTCTTCATGATCCACTAATCGGAGCTAAACCAAATAAGTATGGGACCAGCCTTTAAGTACCACTTTTACGCTAAAAAAACATATCGACAGATGTTTCTATTAATTGATAGCCTTCTTCTTTTTGAAGTCGGTTAAAAGGAGAAAAACAAATGGTCGAGAAATTAAAAAAAAAAAAAACGAATGTCGAATTTCCACTAGGTATTGAAATGACAAAAAATTGGTGTCATTTAACAAACGCCATGTGGAAATGAACTGAATTACTGTCAAAAGTCGTTGCTTGAGTTCATCTGCTCTTTTGCCAGACTGCCAGGTCACTTGGTCACTTTGGTGAATACCATTACCATTTTTTTATACATACATACATTCATATGTTTATTTTTTTTAATGCCCAACATTGTCATTACAATTTTTGCCTAGTGGAAATCTAGCATAAGATGAGAATACAGGTTCTAGGGGCTGCATTGTTCGAGCGCTGCTTTCTGCTTGAGTTAAAAAAAAAAAAAAAAAAAACACTCAATAGAGGGTAGCTGTTTTTCGCTTCCGCCTCGGGCGAGTCGGCTATGCCGCTATTCTTTTTCACATACTTACATACATATGTACATACAATACAAGTTCCTATCCAATAACTTTCGTGTTAATAACTATTTAATATAAATGAATCAAGAGTGATGGAATAATTTCGAGGAGAATCTTTTTGTTTAAAGTTTAACAACTTTTTAATGCTATTTATCTTAAATATACATTAATTAATTATTGCATAGAAAAAAACTAGCAAAACTCACTTGCATAACTTTGTGTAGCTACTAGCTGCATCCTACACCTCCATGATGCAATTATCCATAGCGCTTCGGATTGGGTGGGAAAATGTACAAAAAAAAAACGCGCAAATAAGTATTAGCGCTTAGATCACAATAAAATCGTAATAAAACTAAAACATCAGCGCCATGAACGTAATTATTATACATATTGGATAATAGTTTTGCATGTTTAGTTACACTATGCAATTTTTTTTTTTTTTAAATTTACTGTTAAACATTACGTATGCTGATGTAAACAAACAAAAGATTCTCGAATATTTTTTTATTACTTACAAGACTGCATGCACTCAAATGCAAGTGCAAAAATAACTAATGCTGAGCGATTAATGATTGTCTGCAGGTAAGCATTTATGTACCTGTAACTGAAAAACAAAAAAAAAACAAAAAATAAAAGAAATCGATGCGGCTTATCAGAGCGTAACCATCTTCGGTTTTTATTGGCTTGCATGAGCTCGAGTTTTTTTTATATAAAATTATATTGTAAGAACCTTTCAAAACTTCAGTTCTTTGCTTTGTTTGTTTGGAAACTCACAATGCTGGGTATACATACATATATCGCGGATGGATTGTGTAAATTAAGTTTTCATTAGTGGTATTCACCAAATTGAGCAGATCAGCTTAAGCAACGACTGTTGACTGCCTGGCCACTTGCTGACTTTGGTGAATACCACTACTGAGATTGCATCATAACAAATGCAAGTATTTTTTATTATATATTTTCTTTATTATTTATTTTTTTTTGTTATGCTTTGTACGCAAAGGCTAAATGGCATTCAGGAAACTGCGTTTCAGAATTTCTTAAACAACTTCGTAGCAACGTCCCTGTTGGTAATACCATGTACTGACCGATAGCGAAAACACTTTGAAAACGAGTTTTGGGATTGTGGGCTGAAGGCTGTTCACACCGGGTAACTGACATAACTTCGGCGGATATAGCTTCCATGGGCGCTTGTCTTGGGATGTTATGTCAGACTTAATTTCCACCATAACTCGCGTTTTCGACGAGTTCTCAGCGAAAACTGGTTTTCGTTTGACAGATTTTACATGGACGAAAACACAAGTTTTAGGTCGAAAACCAGTTTTAGCAAATGAAAACATGTTTTCGTTTGTCGTTCAGAACTTGGTATAAAATAGTGGTTATGGCGTTTAATTGTAATGGTTACGGTAACGATAATGTCATTGGGATTGCGTGTGGTAATGGTAATGCTAATAATCAGAGAAAAAATAATGGTATTGTTAGTGGTAACGGTTACGGTAATGGTAATGCTAATGATAACGGTGATGGTAAGGGAAATATTAGGGGTAATGGTAATGATGATGACAATGGTAATGGTTATGGTAACGGTAATGGTTAATGTAGTGGTGATGGTATTGGGAATTGTAATGTTTATGGTTATGATTATAGTAACCGCAAAACCGATTTCTTCTAAATTGGCTACACATGTATGTATGTATGTATATTTCTTGTGGTGTTACTAGGCAACATGTTGAAAATTTTTAAAATCGCTCTCTTTCTATATAACCTATGCCAAGAATACGAAAGTTGATTTCGCCCGCAATTAAACTTTTTTAACTGTTACATTGCTCTTATGCCGCATTAATTAATGATGTAACTTGCTTTGAAAATTAAATACACTATCATTTAATTAAACCAATTAAAGTGAAATTTTCACATCACACAATTATTAGTTATTGTTTTTATTTTCTTATTTTTCATACGTCTATAACAACAGAGATAAGAAGGCTCAAAATATTCAATTTTTAAATACAAACAACACTTACTTGCTAATTATAACTCGAAACTAATAATAACTTCGATAATGTTGATGAGATATATGTACATTAGGGCGGGTCAATTTGTATGGATCGATTTTTTTCGACATCGTTCCTAGCAGATTCGGACTCTTCATAAAATTCTAAGAACAAAATTCCCCCAAACTATAGCTCTAAAGTCAATTTCGTGCCTGCGCAAATTTAAAAGATGATATCTTTAATTGATGCTAAGTTAATGTGCAGATTAATATTTACTAAAGTGTTATGAATGTTATTTTTTTAATAAAAATTTGTAATTGGGGTTTTTTGATGCGAATAATTAATTTTTGATATCTATTTCTCATTTAATGAACCGCAAGATGTCGCTACAAATTAATAGCCCAGTCAAGTTAGCTCAAAAATAGGGGTAAGCTTATAATAATTTGCATAAAGCTGAAAATTGGTACGAATGTAGCTAGCTTTTAAAATTCCGCAGGCTCGAAATTAATTTTAGAGCTATGGTCTAAAGGACTTTTTTTCTTAAATTAAATAAAAATTGACCCGCCCTAATGTACATTCATATATACTCATGGCCTGTTAGATTGTAATTGGTTGTAATATTATGCCAGATTTCTGTGATATTCAATTAGGATCATTCGCGTTTATATAAGGCGCGGCAATGTTTTGAATAACAGCAGGTTCAAAATAATACATTTATAAACATTTACATATCTGCACCATGGTACAATTATTACAGGTATCGTCTTCCCAGAGAGCGCATATTCCGATTCGCCTTGTTTGAAAAACATCATTGTTGCCCACACTAAAACATTTACTGCTTGGGAAAAGGGATAATTCCATACCCGATATACCATATACAAATGTACACGTATTTTTTTGCAGAGAACTTATTTAATATGCAAAAGCCGAAAAATAAACAATTGCTCAGTAATCAAATTCCAAATTTGTATAGCTCACTTTATTTCGTTTTTTTCGCAAAGCCAAATAAAAGTAAAAGAGTCAACATTGAACGGCGTCAAAACAACAAAATAAGGGAGCACGAATTTCGATGTGAAGCAAAACTCTCTGGGAAGACAATTCCTGTGAATAATTGTACCATGTATCTGCATTAGGTTTTTGAAGTGAAACTTCTTTAGAGGCGGTTGGTTGGTTGGGAGTAAATGGGCAAATTCAACGGAAATTGCACACGGAAATGATGCAACGGAAATGGTGCAACTGATATGGTTGGGGCTGAAACAAATGCTTCGTGAGTGTATGCACAAATGAGCAAATGAGCTCAAGCAACGAGAGCAAACGTCAGACTGCCAAGGCGCCTCTATATATAAGGTGGTGTTACTAGATCAGCTGATTTTGTGTATGGGTTTCGCCTCACGGCTTCTTCCCACCATTCAAAACATGAGAATGAAAAATAATCGTGCAATTACGTTAAGAAAATAATCATTAAGTTCATTTCCACATGGCATTTTTTTAAATGGCATACATTTTCTGTCATTTCAATGCCTAGTGGAAATTCGGCATTAGAAACGGAATTAATTCTTTCTTTCGCTATGGCGCTTCCTATTTTTCAATCCTGTCTATGGTATAAATTGGACGCTTTTGGATAATACTGTTGACGCGAAATTTATAAATTTGGGAATTTTTGAAAACTTACATATTTATTCCAAAATTTACATGAAAGAAATGATGTTGGCGATTTGTCACCACGGCAATAAATCGGTAAGTCGCCAATTTGTTGCCATTGACGATTGTTGCATATTTCTCATATTTTGCATGGTGGGTTGTGTCAAATTGAAATATTTTATTTTTATTTATTTTTTTTTCAAAAACAAAAAGTCATGTAAATGTTTGTTTTTGTACTCCTGCTAGCACCTTATATTAATTTGCCTTGCATGTAAGTATATATTTAGTTGATGTAACTTAACTCTTTTTGTCAGTGTGGCCATTTTCTGTAATTTCTTTCAAGAACAAGTTTGGAACAGAAAAAAAATATTGACACACGATTTTTTTTTTGTTTTCACAAATTACTTCATATTAAATTTATCATACGAAAACCTTTATTTTGAATTGCATTTACGGTGGTGCAATGCCGCTTCAGCTAACGCACCTAGAAAGATGCATCATCTCGGCTCTGGTTTATTCTGTCTGCTTCGTGGGTATTTAAACCAAAGCATATTCGCCTGCAGGATAAATTCTTAAAGAGTTTTACCATTTAATTTGTTTGCAGTTGTTGGAAATCGGCGGCTGTATAGTCCTTTATCAAGTAATTTCATCAGATTGTGTATGGGGACGTGAAAATTCTACGCGAATTTTCTTTGCATTGATTTGTGTAGTTGTACCAATTCTGCCGGATATATTATACTGCATTATGGGCATTCTAATATCGGATCCGTTTTATGCGCCCTTGGTAAGTTGACTTTTTATTTATTTTTTTTTTTTTATATTTATTTACTATTTGTATTGACATGCAAAACTTTCACTTTAAGTTATTTTTTTTTTTTTATACAGGGTGGCTGCTATAATATTGTGATGAGCTGTTTTTGCATTTTATCGGCCATATTTGCATTTGTCTCATACACTGGCTGTGGTAATCCAGCGCAATTACAAGCGCTCGTAGCTGGCGTCTTAAGCCTTTTGGCTGGCATAATTCACCTGGTATTCATTTTATTTGTCAAAGAAAATCTCGATGAAGGTGAAGTTTTGTTTAGGAAAGCATTTTAGCGGAAACCTGTCATGACTGTTGTTATAAGATTTTTTTTCAAATAAAATAAGAGCATTATTATTTTTACAATGCATTCATACATACAACCTCAAATCAAGACAATCTGCCCCATTATTCACTTTTCCGAACCTTTTTGTACCTTACAAACAAACTTGTTACCAACAATACGCAGTTTACTTGGCCAAAATGGGATAAAAAGTGGTCGAAGGATCTCCTCTTGCTGAGCGGAGGGAGCTAGCCGCAGCTATGGTGTCTGCTAACAGGCCATGTTGCCAACGGAAGGCACGCAGAGGTTAGGGGTCCCCCAAAACGAATTCGGCAGAAGATGGAGAAGAGCCAGAAACCTTGCGGCACCTGTTATGCGAATGCCCCGCACTTTGTTTCAGGATTCTTTGAAGACCTAACCGATGTGCCAGGTACATATGTATATCGAGGCTAGCCCGACCGTTCGCCCATTCACTTCGAAGCTGACAATGGTGGTCTTTAGTAGTACCTAATACTTTCAAGCCTTTTGAATAATCGCTAATGAGACTGGACCCAAATCCATTTGGATATATTGTTTCCGTTGACTTATACGAAATACACTGCCGGCAAAAAGTATTGGCACAGCAATTTTTTTACAATGTATGTAACAATTTTTTTTTCTAATATTTTTCCGCTAATTTCGTATAACAGTATGGTTCATTCTACAACAAAAAACAACAATATAATTCCTAAACTTTGTGCAAAGCTCACGGGAATTCAGCAAATTTTTAGCTTTTCAATCGGATTTTTTAGACTTTTTTTGAGTATGCAGTTTTGCAGCCCATTATATTTTTTTGTTGAAGGTGTTTTGCATTTTTTCCATATAAAATATTTTCGAAAAAATATTTTTGTATGGAAGAGACTGCTCGAAAAAAATTGCCAAAAATTATCGATAATTATTTATTACAATAAAATTGATTGGGTTACAAATCTGCATACTCAAAAAAATGCTAAGTTTCTGATTAAAAAGTTGAAAATTTGCATGAAAATTAGCTGAATTTTCGTAAGCTTTGCACAAAGTTTAGGAACTATATTTTAATGTTTTTTATATAGAAAAAAAAATTGTTGCAGTGTACCTAATCATTAAATGGAGTAAGAAATAAAAATTTTAGTTTTTCAACCTTCTGTGCTTTCCATGCCGAAATGAACTTTAAAGTTTTGTAACTGTGTTTTCAAACAGAATTGTTTATCAAATCATTCTCAATCGCTACAAATTTATTTTGTTTACAAATACATAAATACATATAATGGCTATCAATGGCTGTTCACCGAATGCTGTACGTTTAACATCAATGATACTTTATTGCATTTGCTGCGTAAGTTTTGTGAAGTAAATTTCGATCAATCTACATACTTATATCTCTGGCCAGTTAAAAAAATAAAACCGTTCTTTATTATATAGATGTTCGAATTAATCGGCTTCATATGCCTCATCCAGTTTATACCTTCGCTCTGCGTAACGGCTCGTGAGAATTCTACACGCATTTGGTGGTCATTGATTTTGATTTTCCCCCCGATTGTACCGGACTTAATCTTCGCTGTTGGTGGTTTCTTCTTCGTGACTCATTTTTATGCGCCAATAGTACGTTCCTCACTGCGTGTATATATGTATAATTCGCCATTGATTTAGTTATTGTTTCTATCTATGTACATACATATGTAGGGAGGTGCCTACAACATATTTACGGCTTTCCTATGCATTATATCAGCAATATGTGCTTTCATCGCACTCACATGCTGCGGAAATCCTGCTCAGTCATTAGCTTTAGAAGCTGGCGTATTTGGTATCATTGCTGCTGGTTTGCATATAACGCTTATCGCTTTTGCGGTCATAAATATTGAAGATGATGACAAAATTTTTGCAATAAGTAATGTGGATGATTACTAAATTTATATACACATGTACATACATACATTTATTTTGAATAGATACTATCTATATATACACATTAAATATATACATATGTATATATCTATTGAAGGTGGCGCCCAATTTTTTAGTATTAAAAGCGTTTTATTTTCTTGAAATAATGTTGCATTTATTCTGCCCTGCGCCAGGGCATCTTCACTTGCATATTGCGCGCTCTTTCCTTAAAATGTTGCACTCTGATAAAATTGCCATATCGATGGATGGGTGGAAAATCGACCTACATATGTCGGCAGCCAGTTCGAAAACGCCCTATCTCAGAAAAATTTACAAATTTAAATTTTTTTTGTTGCTTTCAACTAAAAATCGCCTCGTGTAAATTCAATATTAGAGTTGGATAACGATTTTGGTTGTTATTTATTTAAAAAAATATGGGAAAACTTTCCTATAAGGTCGGTCCTTAAAGGGAGCGGTGGGCAAAGAGGTAGTGGGCGTGGCTCCTCGAACCACCTTTTTGGAGAGGCCATGAGCCGTCATTGACAAAAATGCCACACCTGACCACCTAGGCCCCCTATGGGTACCCAGGGACCCCTTGGAAAAATGGCCAAAAATCGCACAATTTTCCTTTCTGTGTTTACGGGGAAGAGGGACAGGCACCTCTGCTGTTGTAAAGGGTATATAAAATGTCTTGTGCTAATGAATATTCAGCCTTTTTTAAGCGAAAAAGAGCAAGTGAAAATTGTGATTTTTGGCAATGTTTCTAAGGGATCCCTAGGGACCTATGGGGGCAAGATAAAGCTTCGATGGACATATGCGATCATGATTCACGAACATCATTTCATTATTTCATAATTGTATCAATATAAATACATACATATGTACATGCCAACAGAGGAGAACGGATATGCCTCAAAATCAAAAGTTGATCCAAATAATATGATTGATTCATGCAAAAATATAAACAAAGAGTTATACGAAAGCTTCGTTATAAACAAAGAAAGCAATGGACGAGTATGTAAAAGGTGAAAAAAATCAAGACACAAGATGTAAAAACACAAATTGCTTTTATAAAGTTTTAGTTTTTTTTCCTTCAGCGCTGTCTGTACATCTGTATCTTGAGCCGTAAATATAGTTTTTGCTTGGAATTTTTGCATTCGCGTTAGTAAGTGTAATTGCAAGCTTGCCTGAACTGAAAATCTTGTAGACGGCCAAATGGACGCAGATAAAAAGAAACGCAAAAAGTGTACATTTTTCTTTCTTCTAAATGTTGTAAGTTTGTTTTAAAACGTAATCGCACAAATAATCTTCATATATGTATGTATCTGTTTGCACCTCTTCGCGCTCGTCTTTCAAGCTTCTGGAGGCTAGCGCCATAACCGCAGTTATTTATTGTACACTCTTCTCCAATTGTGTGCTGGGCAATGAAGTCAGCGCTCCTGTATTCATATTCCTTTTATTCATATTTTCTGCCTTCATACCGGATTTGCTTTATCTCGCACTTTCGCGTAAGCTGCATACTTTGGGCACTGATCCGCTGGTACGGTGAATATGTGTGTGTGTGTGTGTGATTGATATACCGAACATTTGCGCTAAAATGCATTTCCGCCCATCTGTTTTATTTTCAACCAACAGGGTGTCATGTTTAATTTCATAGCTGGTGGCTTATGCATTCTTATCGGGGTAGGCCTTATGCTGGTATTACTCGTTTTCTGCGGCTATTATGCTCAATTCATATTGGTGATAGCTGGTGCGTTCAGCGTTTGCTCTGGTGTTTTTCATTTGATGAATGCACTTATGTGCAACCAACGATTACCAAAATCGGAGAGGTGAGTATACAGAGTGGAAGCCCTTCTTATTTCCAGCTGGCTGCTACTCATGTACTTATGTATGTATGTTTTTGCGCCCCTATCAGGTACTTTAAGCATCGGCATCGACGTAAAGGCGCGAAAAAAGCGAGTGCCCCTAAGAAAAAGGTCAGAGAAGTTGAGGAGTCTCAGTTGGCCAGCACAAAGAGTGGACAAAAGGATGCAAAGAAAGTGGACAAAAAAGCTGTTAAAAAAGATGATGGCAAGCTTGAGAGCAGCGATGTTAAAAAGCACGATAAACGGAGTGACAAAAAGCGCCAAGAAACGGCTACTTATAAAGAAATACCAAAATCTTTACGCATATTATCGGTTCTACTTTACCTCACTGGCGGCGTAAGTTTTTTAAAGTTTTTTTTTTTAAATTCAGCCCGACACTTCACAAATTCGTTTCTTTCCCAGGCGATCGAGTTAACTGGTTTCCTATTACTCTTCTTTTATATATTTTCGCTCTGCGTTTTGGGGCGCGAGAATTCTACACGCATTTGGTTGTCAATGAATTGCCTGGCTCCACCAATCACAGCTGACTTGGTTTTCGCGATTGGTGGCTTCAAGATTGCGGCACACTTTTATGCATCCATTGTAAGCTAAAGCTGATTTACGCGTTCTTAATTTAAATTTTTCATCAATTTCATCGATTTCTCAATCTCATCTAGGCTGTTGTCTATAATATTGTCATGGCAACTCTATGCATTTTATCAGCTATATTTGCATTTGCTTCAATCACAGGCTGTGGAAATCCTGCGCAGTTATTAACTGTTATTGCTGGTCTAATGGGACTTAGTGCTGGCGGTTTGCATATTTTTCTCACAATTATTGGGTTAAAAAACCTTGAAGGCGGTGGAAAACTTTTTAAAAATAGGCAATCTAAATAGATATGAGTCTATACGAGTGATTTAAGTAAATACGGACAGTTGAGAATCCAAGCAAAAAAGTTTTTTACAGCGTTTAGCAGAGGTGGGTTCATATTGAGTCAAAAATCTCTGAACGGGTGGGTCTCCAAATGGTGGGAGTTTCAAGTGCAGCGATGAGTTTTTAGGGAGGCTATGGAACCTCAGTTGGCTGCCGACTATGAATAAGGAGGGCAACAAACTGGTGTAGGACTTGGAAATCTTTATGAATGACTCGCCTCCAAATGGTGCGAGAAGTTTGAAATGAGTGGCTCGATGAATGTGATGTTAAACATACCGCCCATAGACATTATGTCGAAGCAAACTGCAGCCCGCGCTGCCGTCAGACCGCGGAACCTATCCAGCTGGAAAGCAAATCAATGCGGTCATAGCTCAATTCTAGAAGGGCTTAGTCTGCCGGAAATAACGGATTATTGCGTGCGGCAACGACCTTTGACAAGGGGTATAAGGTAACAATCCGCAGCAGGGAACAATGAAACCAAGGCGTTCCGAGACCAGCGGATTCTATTCAGTTCTACACTGACGGATCCAAACTGGATAACAGAATCGGAGATGGAGTGTACTCGGAACAACTAGGAGTACAGAAGTCATTCCGCCTTTCGGGCCACTCTAGAGCATTTAAAGCCGAGATCGCGGCCATAGAGGAGACTACCGAGTGTTAAGGACATGAATAGTAGGGCGTAATGACAGCCAAGCGGCTTTACAAGCTCTGGATTCTGTCACATGCAACTCGGAAACAGTAGTGAGCTGCCGCAGATCACTCAACGTGATGGCAGAGAGATCCCGTTTGGTACCACAACGGGTCCAATGATGGACCTAAGTGTGCTGGTGTGTCCACCAGCAGCCACTGCAACCTAAACTAACCTAACAATGGCATGGTGGCCGATATTTTCGTTTGAATACGCTTATGTTCTACGCTTCACAGATGCGTTTTCATAATTCGGAGACACAAAATTAAAATTTGTATCATCATTTTATTACATTCGGACATTCTGAATGTTAGAAATTAACAGCAAGCATCTCGGCATCTCAGCCACAGCCATTCTGTAAAATATTCGACCTCAAATATTGAACTTGAATAATTTTTTTTCGTAGTTTGATCGTGTTATTCACTTCACTGATGCTTTTTCGTAATTAGGAAAAAACAGATTACATGCCGCCTATGACGACATTCGAAACCCGAATCTGCTGGAAGCTAAACAAATCAAAGCAAGCATATCTGCACGTTTAGCTACAGCCAGACATACAAATGTTTTTTGAAATGTTCAACTTGAAACGCATTTCTTACATTCGTTGTATTTACCATGAAAAAATCAAACAATAATTTGGTTGTAAAAACCATTGTACTTTTGGCGCCGTGTAGTTGGCACGCTTAGAGAATTGAAAAGAAATATTACCGAAATTTACCCTGCGACAGCTAAGTGAAGACTTCTTAGCAAAGACCTATTTACATTACCTTAAGCTGCCTTTACACGGCCGATGTAAATAGCAATACAATCGATTTTTGTCGACTGGAAAATCGCTGTTAAATCGACTAGCCAAAACATTTCAATTTTACGGTTGAATTGCTATTTACACAGGTCGATTTCAGTTGAACGACAAAAATCGACAAGAAAATCGACCCGTGTAAACGCAGCATAAGAATTTCGGCTGGTCGCTTTTGCCGTCGACAGAAAGCGACCCGTATAAACGCAGCTTTAGTTAAAATTTGTACCCATGTAACCCATGAAAGCATTATTCAAAGCGAAGCATTTATTCACCGTAACCTGNCGCAGCTTTAGTTAAAATTTGTACCCATGTAACCCATGAAAGCATTATTCAAAGCGAAGCATTTATTCACCGTAACCTGGTCAACATATGGTCAAGTGAAAAAAATTAAGAAATACAAAAAAAAAATATCCCGACGAGTTGATAACCTTTCACCTTTTTGTGAAGTCGGTTAAAAAGAATTGTAAAATATAAACAAATAAAACATCGCATGTGAACAACAAAAATAAAAGTGTTTTATGAAATGACAAAATGAATTATTGTTGAAAAATTTAATACCAACATATTTTCTGCCTTCATACCGGATTTGTTTTACCTTTTCCTTTGGCGTAAGCTACATACTTTGGGCATTGATCCGTTGGTATGTATGTGTGTGTGTGTGTGTAATTTTCCATATTAAGCACGCGTGTGCGATTAATATTCTTAGCACCGACATTAAAAGGCCTCAGCTTTACTCCTTTTCTTTTGCCAACAGGGTTGCATGTTCAATTATTTTATGGGCGTTTTATGTAGTTTAGTTGGTATAGGTCTTATATTGGTAATGCTACTCTTCTGTGGACACTATACACAATTCATATTGGTTGCAGCTGGTGCTTTCAGTGTTTGCTCTGGTGTATTTCATTTGATGAATGCATTTATGTGCCATAAAATGTTGCCCAAATCTGAGAGGTAAGCACACAAAAAAAAATAGATATAATCACATTCTTATGCTTACTATATTTATTAAAGAACGATCGAACATTAATTGTTTGAGGCCGAAGCCCACTCAAATAAAACTACGACAAATAATTTCAATATTCGGCTGACACCGAACTTAATCGGTACGAAAAGCCACCACAGTTTTTTGTAAGTTCAGAGAACGGGACTAGCCGACGCTGTAGTGTAGTACTTTGAACAAATTGAAATATTTCCGGGCAGCGCGCTTCGGTGTGGTAAAGCTGCGATTCTGGATAATAATGTTATGGTTCATAACACATTGTCCAGCCCTATTACTCTGATGAATCCAAGCAGTTTTAAGAGCGGTAGAGAGAGAATATGCGTAGCCTCCTTCCCAGACGCGGTATCCTTCATCTCGCAACCGCATTGCATTCTATGAGGAGATGCACTAGAGTTTCTGGTGCCATATCGTATACTAACACAAGTCGTCTGCACTAATCCCGAGGGTATGCATATGGGACCGCAGTCTGCAGTAAACCGCCAGCATGCCTGTTATAAATTTCAGATTAGTCTTTTGAAAGGTAATTAGATCCTTAGATCTTTTGGCGTTATAGCCTCTAAGAAGCTCTTTCGTCTGCCAATCCAAGGCATGTTCTCCCATTTGTGTTCTACGTAGCCGACGCTCTTCTGTTCTTTAACTCTTCCCTGATAAGCTTAGTATCCAGCTCTTAAGAAAACGGTCAAGAAAAAATTGCCATTATTTCGCGTGTGTGTCCAAGGAATTTTGACATTTTTTATACCTCACAGCCTGTTGCCTCACTCTTTCCTCAAGAAATAATGGAACGGGCATATATTTCTGTTGCAAACCTGGGTTGCCTTGTGCTCTTTTTTCACAAAAAACTTTAGAAAACCGTAGTAGAAAGCGTAGTAAATTTCTTAAGAACTGCGTACTGCCTTAAGGAAATTGTACTCAAGAAATTTTCTTAGCCATTTCTTGTACGTCATTTTATATGAAGTTTTTGCTTGTCTTAAGAGGTGGATACTAAGCTTTAGAGTGAAGTGCAATGCAAGGAACGCTTCTGGTCCTATAGGTCGAGTGGCTGCTTCTTCTGTCGCCAGTCTGTCAGCCTTCTAGTTTTCCTGTATGCCTTTGTGGCCCGGAACCCACATTAGTTGCAGTGTATTGTTCTCCCTCAGGGTGTTCAGTCTTGCTACACATCCCCATACCATCCGCGATTTAATCTTACATAAGGATATTACTTTTAATGCAGCCTGACTGTCGCTGCAGATTACAATGTGCAGCCTTCTTGATTGTCTCTGCTGAATTATTTCCATGCAAGTACTGATGGCGTAAACCTCCGCTGGAAATACACTAGAGTAGTTCCCCAGGGGAATGGATATCTTGGCCTTAAAATTGATTCCATTCCAGGTCGCTTTGTTGCCCAGTTCGAGTTCTGATTTTGTTTGAAAGGGTCATCGTAACCACTCGTCCATTTATTGGGGCGGAGAATGGGTATCCTGGACTGATTTCCTTTCTCTACTGCTCGAAATAACCTTTTCCTTTCCAGTGCCCTTCCTCATAAAGTTAGGAGGGCTTTCTGGGCAGTCTGTTCTATGTATTGTGTAGTGGTGGAATGACCTCCAGGCCATGATGGGGCAAGTGTCATGGCCCGTTTCGCAATGCAGTGCACGGCAAAGTTGATTTTGAGACCCACCGTGCCACACCATATTTAGTTAGGATAAGTGGCTTTTCTTCTGTCCATTGCAGAGGGGATATATCACCACTGAGGGCATCCTTTTATTGTCCTCAGCTGTATGTTTTACTGCCTACAGGCGTCTCTGCCAGTTTGGTTCGTAGCAGTCGGAACAATCCGACCAACCTTCGATTCGGGGCGGCTACGTTCCTCGATCTACTACCCCGTGGTGAGTGTTATCAAAGGCTCCTTACGTCAAGAATGCGCATAATATTAATCCAAACTTAATCTTAACCTAGTCCTAATCATAAACGTAACTTAAATCTTAACCTCCGGCCGTTTTTTTTGGTAGAGGCCGAACCGAAACCAAACCAACTTTGTTCAATATAGCCGAAATCGAAGCTAACGTTCGGTTGTTCTTAATAATTAACATATAGCATATAAAGGGTGGTCCATATTGTGTGTGAGATAGAGAGAAAAAAATAGATTTTTGTTAATTTTGTTTAAATGAAATCATATATGGACCACCCTGTGTTACTGCTTTCATAAATTAGCTCGTTAATTGGAAAACTTTATAATTCAAATTAAGGTTTAAGATATTTACGCAGCGTTTTTCCTCTGAATAGATTTTTCGTTATTACTGTCTTTTTTATTTTCATCCAAAAGAAAAACCTGGTAAAAAGTTTAGGCATTTTTCTCAAACTTTTGATATGCTTAAAATTTGATTTTCCAGAAAGACCATTTTAATATTAGTACAAGTGCCTCTTTGTGTAATATAATTATTTATAGTTATATTTCATTTCAAATAAATAAATAAATAATAAATAATATTAGTACATATGTACGTTCTTACGTCTGTGTTCAAATCAGGTACTATAAACACCTCGTCAAAGAAAGGCTGAGAAAGGTGAAAAACTGACAAGAAGGCACATAAAGATGACAAGAAAGGCGATCAGAAAGGTACAAACAAGGGTGAAATGAAGAGTGAAGAGCGGGGCGAAAAGAAGGGACAAAGGTCGATAAGAAACAGATAAAATTGGTGATAAGAAGGACCCAAGAAGGATAGAAAAAAGTGCTCAAAAAAAACAAAAACAGGGAAATAGTGCAGAAAATGTAAAGCGTTAAGTGCTGCTGTTTAAAACGTGTTACGTGTAGATGTTTACGCATGATACCTCATTTTATGATTTAAAATACAATGCTTACTTTTCATTGTTTAATTATGTATACACATGTATTTATAATCAACTGATTTTAAAAATAGAAAAATGAATGCTTTCAAGTTCACCTAATAAGGCACGCAGTGGTGGTGGCATGACGTATCACTGTTATTTTCAGAGAGAGGCATAACATAATTGCATATACATACATATGTACATATGGATTCTACTTCAGGCAAATACGGAGCTTACTTGATTTTACTGCTGCCCTACACACCTGCACAATTAAGCAGTTATATTTAAATATTTGGGTGTAAAATTATAACATATCCTCTGAAGATAACAAAGTGGTTGTTGTTGTTCTTCTTCTTTTTGATTAACGCTGTAACCGCATAAGCGATTCTGGCCGAGTTCAAGAAAGCCCGATAGTCGCTTCTCTTCTGTGTCAATTGACGCCAATTGGAAAGGCCGAGTAAAGCTAAGACAACCAAGTAAGTTATGCAAAAAACATGTAAGAGTATTCCTCTGCCGTTGCGTTTATTAAATTGTGATGTGATTGTCATTAAAATTCACGAGACTTTTATGTGGAGCAACCCAATAAACATTTAAGTTGGAGATCAAGTGGAGATCCAATAAAAATTCTAAGGTCCAATGTTCATTTTCAAGTGTACCTCAATTGGAGAACTAACCCATTTTCCAATAAAACGGTACATTTTTTGTACACTTGAGAAAAGTTTGGATATCAATTTGAATTCAAACTTTATTCAACTTTTAGTCAAATTTTGGGAAAAATGTTGGAGACAAATATTGGATATCCACTTGAGAGCCTGAAATTTGTCAAAGATTGGAAAAAAGTTTGAAAAGTGTTTGCTTTGTGCATATTGGGAAGTTGCTTAATGGATTAAATACATATGCGCGCATATACAAACATATATATCGCAGCATATAATGCAAAAAAGCCTAACTGACAAAATTTTTTAATTGCTTAAAATGAAGTGGGAATTTATAATTCGATGAAATGTATCATAATAAATCAACAAGGGAATTTTGTGTTGTTATTCAGTTACGGCTTTATTATATGTATTTTCGGTAATCGTACTGCTAGCACAGCTTTCATAAAACTCCAACAAAAACACTGTGGAATAAAGTGAATATCTTGTATGTAATTTTCAACACACTGATAAATGCCCGATTTCTTCACCTTTTGAGATTGTGAATCCTTTAGCTAAGACTTGGTCGGAGATGGCTATTTTCAGAATTTTTGAACAACTAAGCCAATTTTATCAACGAAATACCTATAACCTGCACCCTTAATAAACAGTGCGAACTAATTGAACACCCTTTCACTTACCTCGAATTCCCCTCTTCTATCCCAATTTGAAAAGGGAAAACCCCCGTATTGGATAATATATATCCTAACCCCTGCTCAAAAACGTGCCAACAGTGGGTAAAAGAAAACGGTGCGAGCTTTATATTATAATCTATGATATTAATATAATTTCCCAGCGCTGGAAAACCAGCTGAGTCATTCCCATTCCAAAGTCCAATAAGCCAAAAGATTCTGTTGCAATTGAACATGAAATTGCAGTTTAGCTTTCCTCCAAAAGCCGTGTCTCCCTCTTTTTACTGGAAATGGAAAAAAAGCTTTCGACCGAGTTGGGTTCATACCATAATCGAACAGTTAGTTTACTGAAAGCTCGATTCAAAAACGATTAATTGGTAATTACATTAGACACTATCTGTTAAATAGAAAAATAATCGTCAAAGTAAAACAAGTCCTTTCCGATCAAAGCCCCCTCAAGCACGCTTTCATTTGAAAAGACGTATTGAGTTCGATTTGTATCACTATCGCGTTGGTGTTAAATTCTAGTAAAAAAATGCAAGTTCGGAGTAAGTCAAAGATCACGTTGATTTTTGAGACTTGTGTTTTTTTGTTGAAGGCGTTTTGCATTTTTTCCATATAAAGTATTTTCGAAAAAAATTTGTTGTATGGAAGAGACTGCGTGAAGAAAAATTTGCCAAAAATCAGCGGTAACTCCTAACTACTTAAAGCTTGCACTTAATTATAATAAAATTGATTGGGATACAAATCTGCATACTCAGAAAAATTCTAAAAAATCTGATTAAAAAGTTGAAAATTGTCATGAAAATTTTTCTGAAT